AACCTTCTTACCGCTAGATGATAATGAACATTATTGATTATATTCATTTTTTTATAAACTTATTTTGTGACTTAAACGAAAATTGGAAACAAACGAGCAAAAGTGAGCTTGTTTAAACAAAATTCTACTGCTGGCATATTGAATTTTGAAGAAAGATATAGGAATTTCACATATTTAGAATTATTGAACATGAAAGAGGCCTTGTTAAAGTTTTAAGTGGATGTCTTAAGTTTTATAAGTTAGATTTAAATGCAAAAATCCAATCTGGCTTGGACTTTTAAAATTGATTACAAAGTCAGATCATAAACTTATATTTCGTAATAATTTGGAGTAATAATCAACATTTGGATCATATCTTTAGTTCTAGATATTGGTTTGAAGTGATTTAAAAACCTATAGGAAGAAGATATCTAAGTCTACAGCTTTCATAAAGAGCCCATGTTCAAAATCAGCCTATGTGTACATACGAATTTTGTGTATTAAAATACACTAAAAATTTTAATACGCAAAAAAAAAAAAAAAGTAAACAAAATTACAATATTTGATTTGAGTGCAAAAATAAATGGAAATTCTCTAGTGTGCTCTTTACATGAACGAATCCTCTGATTAACGGTTAGATCTGAATCTTTGTTTTGGATGAAGAAATATGCATACGAAACTACAAGTTTTAATTGCTAGAGATCTTTTCTTTTTCTCTCGTTCTGCAGACTAATGATTTGGTGGTCTTGTTGACTATTTATAAATATATCAAGTGCAATTTACCTCAAATGTCTTTCATTTAAAGGCATTTTAGAAAAATCAAAACAAAAATTACTTAAAATACTCTTAATTAAGAGAGTACTAAAGTAAGAATAAAATTTTTTTTGGACTGGATCTTCAATTTTAACTTGGATCCAAATTTATTGAGTTTGATTTATGTAGTCATAAGGTATTTAGACTGTGATTTTTTTTTTTTTTTTTTGATGGAGGAATATATGCTTTTCCAATTACTTTTCATGAAACTATTTTTTTTCACCAATCAAACACCATAAGGTTACTGATCTTATAACACTTAATTACTAATCATACGGCGCAACATAATTTAATGGACAATTTCTATAGTTACTTGATAACATTACACCTATTGTATTTTTTTTTTTTTTTGATATTTACATGTAATGAGATATTTTTGGATAAGTTTTTCACATCAATTAAGATTAAGTATACCACTTCTTGAGCTAGGCTAACGACAAAATATGTTTAGTTTTTTGTCGACCACTAGTCTTCTTTGTAGACTAAATGATCACAACTCTAGTATTATTAAAAAATAATTATGATTAATTATTTATAAATAATAAAAATTAAACCTTGATCTTAGTTAAATCAAAACAACTTATTTACTTATAGACAACGTCCTTTAGTGGTCTTACAATGTAAGATTCAAAATTCAAATTTCACTTCTCTTGCCTTTTTTTTTTTTACCACAACCAAACTTATATATGACTGTTTCTCTGATTCTAAAAATATCGAGAGCTTGGAATTTTTTATTTTAAAACTAATGGTGTATCTACTAAACATGATTGAATGATGATAATTTCTTGGATTACCAAAAAAAAAATTTTGTGTTTTTAAGTTACAAACTACTAATATTTTTATTTATTATATATAATAATTTATCATATCACTCAAAAATTAATAATTTTATTATTTTATAAATTTAAAAACACTATAACTATAAATATTTTGAAGTAATGATAGCAAACTCCAATCAAATAAAAATATAATTTGAGGGAACAAAAATCCACCCCGACCAACTTACTATATTAATCAGCTCAATAACTTAAACGGGCCTACAAAAGCTTTATGCTTTAAACAAAACCCACTCTCTTGTTAAAAAGACACGCGGGAGTCGCTCGGACTGAGAGCGACAGAGAGCGTCAGAAGGTAACAATGGCAGCAACCACGGAGCCCTTTAACGGCAATGGTGGTTCTGTCCACGGCGTTTTCGGCCGCGAACGATGCCTGACCGGGGTGGTGGACGAAGATTCAGCACAGAGCTACAGGTGCTACATTTCGCGAAGGACAGTTTTGGAAATGCCCAAAGACCGTGGCTGACTCAGACCTCACTCGTTCCCTCACTGAGTTCCGTTCCGTTTTTTGGAATAGCCGGGACCTTGATAGCCTTCGGTTCTCTATTTCTCTCCTCTCCAATCCGCATAAGAAGGTTTGTTTATTTTTATTCTCTATTCTTATTATTTCCATTATTTAATTGAATATTTTAATCACGTTTATAATATGGGTTTTTATAATAACAATATATTGATTTTTTTAATTTGTTTATTTTCATGGAGTTTTTGCGTAGACAACAGAGGAAGCGTAAAGGTGGCAAATTTTTTGCATTATTTATTTATAGTTAGTGCCTTTTGATTTGGTTTCTAAGTATACTGTTTAAAATGTTGTGTTTTTTTTTTTTTTTAATTTAATTGACGAAAAGGGAAAAGAATTTAGTTTTTGAGTTCTTTTACTGAAAATTTGTTGCTGCATATGCAAACCAAAGGGTATTTTATAGTGTTAATTTTTTTTTTTGGAGATTTATTATGTTTTATATTTGTTTTGATTTGATAACGAACCCATTTCAAAGAGAAAAAGAGATTTAGTTTTATTTTTATCGCTTATTTGTTGCATTTTTATAACTTATTCTAGGGTAAGCATCTTTTTGTTTTTACAAATTTAGTTCTTTGTGGGAGACATTGCTTGGTGAATTGTTGAAAAAAGTTTTGGGCTTGCAAACGTAGCAGTGCAGGTTATACAAAAAATGATGAAGGAAAGGGCTGTCTTCAAATTGGATTTTGTGGGACCAAAACCTGAGATGGCTTTTTTTACTCATTTTAGGTTTCTGAAAAGTCTCATGCTTGTAGTAACATGTAAAGTTGGAATTATGATACAAGGGCAGTTCTTGTTTAAGTACTTTCTATTAGGCAAAATTTGCATGGAAATCCTGGTCATGGTTTTTTTCTGAACTGTTCTGCACACCTTGGTCATCTTCTTGGGAACTGATGAAATTAAAAAAGCAAATATTAGGGCTGTTTATGGTCAAATTCTTAACAAAGAGAGTGTACATGGGCTGATACTGATCTTGCAAAGCAAAATGAACCACTTTGCCAGGAAAGAGCTGGAGAAGTTTTCCTTCAAAGTGGAGGTTTTTCAAGTATGTTCCCTGTTGTCGAAAAAAATTTTCATATTGCAGATTCATTGTATGGCCGTTAGGAAAAATTTTTAGTGGTCAGGCATTTAAAGAACAGTGCTAATTTCTTACTGCTAGAGGCCATGCTAGTCACTTTTAAATCATGTCCGTGATACTGTTGGTAATCCTATGTTCTTGCCATTTTGCCACCAAAGTTAGGGAAATTGTCAACCCATTAGCATTTCCTCTTTATATAGTTTATTGTCCTTTTAGCTTATATTTAAAAAGGTTTTGCATTTAAGCTTTTGACCATTCCTTTGCATTCAGATCACTGACCTGCTGGTGAACATCACCAAGCATGTTCTGCAGCCGAAGCTGGATATACTAACTGCTGGGCAGAAGCAACAGGTTTTGAACAAGTACAAGTTGGAAGACAAACAGGTATCATGTAGTTATAGGATGAGATGCCAAAAATGTGAATGGCATTATGAAAGGGACATAATTTTGCCTTCAAGATCTTTGTGTGGATTTAACCAGATATGCATTATATTTCACATTTAGAGGCCTTCCTGATCCCTGAAATTATTTCCTCAGTGCTCCTTTTAGTTCCACAAGATTTAATTTTGTGGAATCTAAATAACACATAAAAGTAACATTCCAAAGCAGATTGTTTCCGTAGAGCTTTTCATTGCCAATTTAGGAGAAATGCATTAAGCCTGGAGTGGTGCAGAGCCTATAGGCCACACTCATGCCTGAAAAACAGTTTCTTTTAAGTTCTGTTTAGATTTATAAATTTGAAGTTACAAGCAACTTTTACTTTGATTTTCTCTCTGAATTAGAAGGTTGAAACACTGCTACCATTGTAGCTAGCATCTAGCATGTTCCGATTCCTCTGTTTTTGTAGCAATGATATTTGTTATATCCTTTCAGCTCCCAAGAGTGCTAGAATCTGAAGCTGTTGTGCGATACTATGGACTGCAGAAGGGGCAGGTGGTGAAAATTGCTTACAGCAATGGAGTTGTTGGTCCCCTTGTAACTCATCGCTGTGTTACTTGATGTTTCACACCATCTTTTGCAGTGATTATTTTTATCCAAAGGAAAGGGAAAAACAAATCTTTTTGCACCAATGGCATTCTAAGATACACTATATCAAATCTGATGCCACAGAATATGATGGAAGATATTGTTATGTAGGTTAAATTTAATTTGTTAACATGCATACTTCTACTGTGAGGAACTGAGTTACAAAGCTTATTAATGGTAGAAGAGTAGCCTACCATAGGTCAGAGATCAAAGGAGATTGACAGGTTGCACATTCGCTCAGTGAGGAGCGAGAAGAAAGAGTTCCCAGCCCGGCCATCATCATGTCTTAGTTCGAACCATTATTAAGAGAAAGGAACTTGACTTTGGGAAAGATCAGTGACTAGTCAGGCCATCATCTTGGAAGATAGGGGAAGGGAAAGCCTTTCTTTTGTTCCATTCGAGGAAAAGAATGCCATGCCACTCAACCAGAGGCAGAGAAGCTGAATGGCAAGAAGCAGAGAAAAAGACAATGAAAAACAGAAGGTTTCGAAGGATCTCCCGTAGCTCTTCAAGAAAGCAAAGCTGGCACACACGGAAAGAGACAAGGATTGAACATGCTACTTACAGGTTCAAATGGTGTAAAAATTCCGAAACTTTATTTATCCAGATTTCTTAGAATAACATTATTATGTTGGTGAATTGTGTTTGAACTCTTTGCATTTCATCATTCCCCGCTGGTTGGCATAGGTCCTGACATGTTCTGTGATGATTGGATTATGTGCATGTGACCTGGATCTTAGCTTGATGTTTGCAATCACCATCCATCAAGGTTGGTGATTGACCGAATCTTTGCATTAGCATTGTCACAAACTTGAAGCCTTCTCCATGATATGTTCTGAACCTCTGAGTTATTAACTTTGAACTTTTCTCATTGAATTCTTGAATTATCTAAATCAAGTTAATGAAGACTTGTAGATTGTGGATGCCTAAAGTACAATTCACTGGTTTTATGAAGTGCGACGGTACTCTTTATGAGGATGATATCATTTATGGTAGCAGCGTGTTGGGCCCTTACTTTTCATCATTTTGAGCATAATTGCCAATTTGCCTTTTGCGGGTCTAAAGTCCAACTCTAAACCATCCATGCATGTATTTCAAATTTTGTAGCATTATCTCTTGAACATGAATATCTGGTTATACGATCTTGCCCAAAGATTGCAGCCTTGCCTATGTTGGGGTTGCCAGCCTCACTTTGCTTATTGTCAATCAATGAGTGTGAATTGTTAGAAGAAAGGTGTCATGAAGGCAGTGAGGATTGGCCCAAGATAGAACATGTTGCTCAGAAGTGGATTGGAAAATATTGAATCAATGTACTAGAATTGAGGAGAGCGTGAAAGTTCTACTCAAAAGTGGATGAGTAAAATCTGTCCTGTTAGTCTGCCCTTTTTTTCCCTTCACTCTTGAACATGTGCTGTTTTCATAAGAGTTATTGCCACTTTATTGTTCATCTTGATCCGTATCATATTCAGAATAATTAATGTGTGTAATTAAGACACCTTCAGTGATGTATAGCACCTGTTTTTCCCCTTCTCTCTTGAACATGTGCTAAATTTTATAATACACTAGGAGTAACTAATGACATTTATAGGAGTTATTCTATGAGTCTACTTTAAAACCGAGAGATAGATACAAGAAAAAAAAAAAAAAAAGAGAGAAATAAGAGAGAGAATAAAAAAATTTGAACGGATGTGGAAATTTTTTTATTATTTCGATAGGTATGGATGTAATTTTTTTTTTGTATCTATCTCTCTCCTCAAAATGGATCCATGGAGTAACTAATGTACATGTTATTAATTATTCCGTGATGTATAGCATATGTTTTTTCCCTTCGTCTTGAACATGTGCTAAATTTTATAATATATCAAGAGTAACTAATGATACGTACAATAGATACTTTATGAATCCACTTTGAAAATAAAAAATAAAGATAGATATAAAAAAAGAGAAAGAGAGAGAAATAGGAGAGAGAAAAAATTTGAGCGAGATATGAAAATCTTCTTATCACTTCCTGTGGGTATGAATGTAATTTTTTTTCTTTTTTTGTGTCTATCTTTCATCTCAAAGTAGATTTATGGAACAATTATTGTACATGATATTAATCACTCCCGATGTATTATAAAATTTCTCTTTCATAAGAGTTATTGCCACGTTTTCTTTTCTTATCGATCTTTTTCTAATATCTATTTATTTTTTTATTTAAACATAATATAGAAAAAAAACTAAATAATTATTTTTTAAATTAAAAAAATAATTACTGCCATTCCCAAGAAAAACTAATGTATAATTTACTCAACAATCTTAAAAAGGCCCAATATATTTGGCATACACAGTAATCCTGCTGGGTTGATTCAAGTTCATTTGAAGGACCGAACCCAGAAAAATCAGGGGAGATGAATTTTTTCAAATGAAACGATTTGGGATTTTATATTTTTTATTAGTGGTTTAGATCTGAAAAAGATCAAAGACTCTGTAAAGCCATGAAATTGCACCATGTTTCCTTTGATAAGCCAACCTTACTTGAGCCAAAGTCCACTAATGGCATGGCAATTATGCTAGTGCCGTGTGTATAGGCTAATTGTCTATAAAAATTAATTAAAAATTTAGTCAATTTTATTTTTCTGCTGTAGCACACTGACGAAAGAACAAAAATCTAATTTATATTGTGTTTTTTTTTTAAAAAAAATCTCAAACGGATTCAAATAATATAATAAATAGACAAGATTTAAGATAGATTCGTCTAACATAAGAGTTTGACATATATAAAGATAAACACGAATATTATGATATGTTTAATTTTCATGTTTTGGATGTGAAATGCTTTAAGAATTTGTTGTTTGGTATGTTTAAAGTAGGATCTATAAAAAAGTCTAATTATTATTATTATTTTATAGCCTTTAATATTAGTAAGTTAAAAGTAGTTTAACTCAAAAAAATTAAAAAAATTTCAACTAAAATCTTACCGTTTAAAAATAGATGATATGGTAAAATTTTAATTGTCAAAGATCTTCACTTCAAAATAAACACCAACTTCTCATCAAAAGATTTTAACTCTAGCGATTTTTTTTTCTAAACTAAAAAACGCAATATTCATTATTGGTATGCTGTCATTTTATCCATACACCTGTTAAAAAACAAAAATCAAATTAGTCCAAATTATGGAGCAAATTATTAATTAATCTCTTTTGTATCAAAACCTAATTATTTAGTTTTTATATTTTTAATTTCTTGTAACTTAATTTTTATTTTTTTAAAATTTATTTTGATTTTTGTTTTAAAAAATATGAAAATATCGATAAAAAATATATTTTAAAAATAAAATAATACTAAATTAAATATAATTAAGACAATGAAAGATTAAATAATTAATTAAAAAGTTTAATTAATATTTTTAAAATTTAAAAAGGACAATTTGTTATTTACTCCTGAATCACGGCTGCTGCTGAGTGGCCAAACCAGAAGCAGCAAAACAAAGGGAAATTGGAAACAGACAAGAAATTTCTGGCTCTGGAAAAAAGTAGTGGTAGATAGAATGACCCCACAATTAAAGGAAATGTGCCGCGCAGTACAATAATGTTCCAAGCCATGGCAAAGCTAGCTAAAGAAACAGTACAATTTGTCGCTCTTCTGCATCTTCTTGACCTTCTTGTTTCTCCTTCCTTCACCAGTTCTCTCTTTGAAACTCACTCCCTTTTGTAAACAGTGGAATCTAAACACGTTTTTTTCTCCAGTTGCACCCTCTTTTCTTCTCATCATCTTATCTTTTTTGTTGATTTTCTCTACTTTGTACTTCCTTTCCTTCACCACCCTGTTGCAAACATCAAGCGACGAAACCAAGCCATGGTTGCTGAGTTGATAGGAGGAGCATTTCTCTCTGCTTCCCTACAGGTTTTGCTCGATAGAGTTGCTTCTCGCCAGGTGGTTGACTTCTTCAAGCGCCGGAAGCTGGACGAAGGACTGCTGAAGGACTTGCAGGCAACAATGAGGTATGTTAACAAGCTGCTGAATGATGCAGAGGAGAAGCAGATCACTGACTCGTTTGTTAAAGACTGGCTTGACGATCTTAAAGATGCTTTTTATGAAGCTGAAGACTTCTTTGACGAGATTGCTTATGAAGATAGGCGGTTGGAATTGGAAGCTGGAACTCAAAGTCAGACCTGCACAGATCAGGTGCGTACCTTCCTCTTTTCTCTCATCCCATGCAAAAGAGGAATAGGAGAGATGGAACCAAAGTTAAGGGAGATCTGTGAGAAATTTGAACGGTTGCTTCGACGAAACAATAATGTCCTTCATTTGGGAGACGGCACTAGAGACAAACCGTTAACACAGAAGCCGCCAACAACTTGTCTGCCAAATGATGCATTCTTTCATGGCAGGGAGGGTGATCGAGAGGCCATAGTGAAGTTGCTGCTATCAGCTGATTCAAATGGAAAAAGTCTTGTTGCCATTCCCATTGTGGGTATGTGCGGGATTGGTAAAACCACTCTTGCGCAGTTTGTCTTTAACGACGACAGAGTACAAAAGGGTTTTGATCTCAAGGCATGGGTTTGTATTTCCCAAGATTTTAACTTTCTCAAGCTAACAAAAGATATCCTTAAGAATTTAGGTTCTCCGAACTGTGATAACATGACTGAAAACGGCCTTCAACTTGAGCTAGAGGAGAAGTTGAAGGGGAACAAAGTTTTGCTTGTTTTGGATGACCTTTGGAGCAGAGATCAAGATCGATGGGACTTCTTATTGAAACCTTTCAAGTCTGTGACACAAGGAAGCAAGGTCGTTGTCACAACACAGGATGAAGATATAGTGCGAGTTATGCAACGCGCTATCCCACGCAGCCAAAATGATGCATCAATCACGTGGCCTGATCCGATTCATCTCAGGGAATTAAATGATGACGACTGCTGGGTTTTGTTTAAAGATCATGCATTTGATGGTGCAGATCCCAGCAGATATCCAGATTTACAAGGAGTTGGTAGAGAAATAGCGAGGAAGTGCAAAGGTCTACCGTTAGCTGCAAAAACGCTTGGACGTCTGCTATGCTTTGAAAAAGATGCTGAGAAATGGGAGAACATCTTGGAGAGCCACATTTGGGAATCTTCGGGGGACAAGATTCTTCCAGCTCTTCAATTGAGCTATTATTGTCTTCCATCACATCTGAAAAGATGTTTTGCTTATTGCGCAATATATCCCAAGGATTATGAGTTTTCCAAGGAGGAATTAATATGTTTATGGATGGCAGAGGGCATTATACAACCAAAAGGAAACAAGGAGATGAGAAAAGTAGGTGAAGAGTACTTCGATGATATTGTGTCCAGGTCATTGTTTCAACGATCAAGACGGGATGAATCATCGTTTGCTATGCATGGCCTTGTAAATGACTTAGCCAAAGTTGTATATGGAGATTTTTGCTTCTGGTTAGAGGGTGACAATTCATGCAAGATTTCTGGAAGAACCCGTCATTTGTCATACAAAAGAACAAAAAAGGATTCCTTCAGTAAATTTGAGGGCATCAACAAAGCCCAATATTTGCGCACCTTCTTACCGCTGCAACAAACATTGTCTGCAGAGATTGATAGCGAGGTACAACATGATTTACTGCCAGCGTTCAAGCGCCTTCGAGTTTTATCTTTGGCTCAATATCGAAATGTAGCTGAATTGCCTAATTCAATTGGCTACTTGAAACATTTGCGATACCTGGACCTCCAAGGAACATCAATAGATAAGCTACCTGAATTTGTAAGTAGTCTCTACAATTTACAAACATTATTGCTGGACAGCTGCAAGTCCCTTGTTGAATTGCCTGGTTCAATTGGCAATTTGAAAAGTCTAGAATTTCTTAATCTTCGTAGGACAGCAATCCAAATGTTACCCGAATCCATGGTCAATTTGTCTAATTTGCAAACCTTGGTCTTGAGTGAGTGCGAGAACCTCATTGAGTTGCCATCAAACATGGGAAAGTTAACAAAGCTCCATAGGTTGACTGATTTTTTTGTCGGAAAACAGAGCGGTTCTGGTATTGAAGAGCTGGGGAAACTTCAAAATCTCCGGGGAAAACTTTGTGTTAGGAATCTTGAAAATGCTATTCCTTCTGAAGACAATGAGACTGCCTACTTGTTGAATAGGCAACGCCTCAAGGAGTTACAGTTGCTATGGGTTGATGACTCACGATGTGAAGGTGGCGTACTTGAGAAATTAAAGCCTGGCAAAGATGTGGAACGTCTTTCCATTGTCGGTTTTGGAGATACACGTTTTCCAGATTGGATCGGAAGCCCTTCTTTCTCGAAGATGGTATTCTTAGAGTTCAGTAAATGTAAACATTGCACCTCCTTGCCTCCCTTAGGGCAGCTAGCATGTTTATATGAGCTCCGGATTGAGGCATGTGATTTAATTGAAGTTCTCAGACCAGAGTCGTTTGGGACTGGCAAATCCAAGATTAGAAGTTTAAGTTTTAAAGATATGGAAAAATGGGGTGAATGGAATTCAGATGGTGTCTCTTTTCCTGACCTTCAAGAACTTCACATAAGTGGCTGTCCCAAGCTAGCTGGGTTCCTACCCAGTCAACTTCCTGCTTTACAGCAACTTCACATTTACGAATGTCCGCAGCTTGTGGCTTCCCTTCCAAGGGCTCCAACCATTCGTCAAATGTTACTGACTGACACTTCTCGTTCTGTGAGGTTGAATGAATTGTCATCAGCGGTTGGGCAACCTATCGGTCGGGAATGCGCGCCGGGATCTTGGCCTGTATCTCCTGAGTTTTCTACTTACATTTACAAACCTCAGCTTTCCGAATGCCTGCATGTGTCTTCGCTTCAAAGGGCTCTGATCATTCATCCAACGTCACCGACTGACAGTTCTCTTTCTGTGGGGTTGAATGAATCGCCACCAGCGCTTCGGAATCTCCATGTTAACAGGTTTCACTCACAAGATTGCCTATTACAGGAAATTGATAAAATGGGGGTTTCTTCAGTTTTACAAACTATTGAAATCAGAGACTGTCATCCACTCAAGCCTTTTTCGGAAGAGTTGTTGTTCTCAAAGTTAGAGATTCTTGAGATTGAGGGTTGTCCAAATTTGGAGTCTTTCGGGGATTTCACTGCTAATTCCTTGTCAGTGTCAGGGTGCCCTAATGTTGCTTCTCTTCCCATGGGAAGACCATCTTTCCCAAATTTGAGAAAGCTTTATATCATAAATTGCTCACATTTAAAGTGGTTGCCTGAAGGTATGCACTATTTCCTCCCTTCTCTTGAGACGTTGTCTATTGACAATTGTCCAGAACTCGAGTCCTTCCCAAAAGGAGGTTTGCCTTGCAAATTAGAGTCGCTTGAGATTGAAAATTGCAACAAACTCATCTGTGACCGTACGAAATGGGGTTTGCAGTTACTCCCTTCTCTTTCAAAATTTAGAATTGGTTACAATGAAGATTTGGAAATCTTTCCTGAAGAGAATCTGTTGCCCTCAACTCTTACTTCTCTTGAAATATTGGGTCTTGGAAATCTGAAATATCTGTATTATGGGGGGCTTCGACAACTCACTTCTATTGAAAAACTGAGCATCTATGGCTGCCCTAAGCTGGAGTCAATGGCAGAAGAGGGACTTGTCTCCTCCAAATTACAATCACTTACAATACGGGATTGCAATGAACTTGTTGCTCGCCGCATGCAATGGGATTTGTGGAAACTCCCCTCTCTTTCACGCTTTGAAATTGGTGCTTGTGATGATGTGGAATCCTTCCCTGAGGAGACACTGCTGCCTTCAACTCTTACAAATCTTGAAATTTGTCTTCTTAAAAATCTGAAATCTCTGAACTACAAAGGGCTTCAACACCTAACCTCCCTTACAAAATTGGTTGTCTGTTCTTGCCCTAATCTCCAGTCCATTCCAGAAGAGGGACTGCCTTCCTCCCTATTTCATTTTGGCATTGTTAAATGCGATTTGCTTGCAAATCGGTGTGAAAGGGAGAAGGGAGAAGATTGGCACAAGATTTCTTGCATTCCCCACATCATCCAAGAAGATCCTAATGCCTGCACAATCATGTGAGCTAAAAGACTGGACGATATTCTCTCTTCTTTCATTTGGCAACATTCTTAGGTAAAATTTAGCTAAATTTCAATTTCATTTCAAATTGGATTGCAGTTTAACTGTAGTTCAATTTGAATTTTGATTGCAAAGAAGTAAGCCCTGTTGTTATTAATTGTGTTTTCAATTTGGATTACTTGTTATTACTAATAGTTAGTTTGGAGTTTTCATCTAAACAAAAATAAAGATTCAATTCAGCCAAAACCTGATGAGACTGTCTCTTCTTTAATTCATACAACATTCTTTGCTGTTTTTGCTTAATTTAGTCTTGTTTCATTGCTAATGCTAATGCCAGTTCCTGAGTGCTGCACTTCCAAAAAACGGAGTTGCTTTGCAAAATTTACTTGTTTATCATGTAATTAAATGGCTGCTGTTTGCTTTCCATTTCCATTTCATATTTTCCTTACTAATTCTTTGTTCATTCCTTGCAGGATTCTGATCCAAATAATAATTTTTTTCATGCATTAAAGCTCCGAAGTTGTTCTAAATCCAAAACCAGTTCAACACTGATTCTCTACCATAAGAGCTGGAAATGTTTACACAGGTAAATCACATCGGTTCTTTGTTACAACATCAATTAAAGACAATTTTATTTCGCTTCCAGGAAACAGAAACAGAATCAATAGGAAATGCATCGAGTGACATAGAAAAATTTCCTCATTGAGAAAACCTTGGCTGGC